CATTTTCCCGGTGATTACGATGTACTTTTCCATCTGTATTAATATTAGATGGAAACCATGGCAACAGAGAGGTGGTCTGCTCTTGTGGAAGCTTTCACATGTTGAACGTTTAATGTTGTTTTTTTATAATTAACAAAACTAGTCGATCTCACCTGGGACAGAAGGGGAGGGGCTTAGATCAGAGAGATCAGGAGTCTAACCCACAACCTCCTGGTGAGAGGGAGGAGACAGGACAACCGCCCGACATCAGAGCGTTTGTGAAAGCAGCGGCTGAAACGTCCCCAACACATTTGCACGACTTCATTGTTTTTGCTGATTCAAGGAAAGTTACTCAGAAAATACTCAGGTAAAGGGGCGGGGCCTCACTGCTCAGGTAAAGGGGCGGGGCCTCACTGCTCAGGTAAATGGGCGGGGCCTCACTGCTCAGGTAAAGGGGCGGGGCCTCACTGCTCAGGTAAAGGGGCGGGTAAAGTCTGACCTGTTCATTTTCAGAAAAGTCCTGGTGTTTGACACAAAGAAATACAAATTGAATTCACACATAATAATAATAACCCAGTTTTGTTTTGTATGTGAACTAGAAGTGCACAGTCTGATCTTTGAACACTGAAGAGTCTCAAAGTGAGTGGTTTTACTGTAGACAGGAAACAGGTGACACAAAGGTCTGCACACAGATCCCGCTTCAGTCTTTGCGATCGGGGATTTAAAGTCTCGTAAGATTCTCCTCGTGTCTGTGGCGTTCGCTTTCTGTCGCACGTTTAAAAATGGTTCCAAATCCTGTAGTGTGTGTCGGCCGTAACTGCTGCTGCGAGCCTCATCGTTCTGCTCTTAAAATGTTCGTATTAATCCGCTCTACGTGATCCCGGGTTTTTCATTTTGCTGTTTTGTCTGTAAATCGATTCCTAAAATGCAGCTCTGAATTCTCCCCTGTAACCGCCGGCGTCGATGAGCTTCATTTGACTGGAGCCTAGCGATTTCTTTACAATCTGTGGACGTCTAAAGAGGAAAAGGACTCCGGATTTCAGCATTTTCAGTTTGTATTTTGGATTTAGATGTGAGTCATTTATCATTGAAAGACAAACAGACTGTGAGTAAAACACAGTGATAATAATAAAAATGAAATGTGAAGTTTTTGAGGCGCCTATGTTCTATTTTTGTCATAATTACAGGAGGGATTCGGTCCTGTTTTACATTAGTCCTGGTCTTGGTTCAGTCCATATTTTAGTCCTGGTTCAGTTCTGGTTCAGTCCTGGTACAGTCCTGGTTTAGTCACATCAGGACTTGTCACTTTTTAGTGCTCTCCTTGTCTCCATCCCTCTTTATCCCTCTTCTCTTCCTCTGTCTTCATCTCTATGTAGCGGGAGGGCATCTGACACACACATACACACACACACACACACACCCCTAACCCTAACGTCACATATTTGACAGTTCTTCAGATAAACTAGAAACAACAGAACAAGTTGAACAAACTCTCCGTTTCCCTCCAAATCACTAAATCACTTCAGTTCTTCATCCTCGTGTCACTTCTGAACAACTCGACCTCGACCTCCGGAGGGAAACGGAGCCACACAAACTCTTCTGCGTCGTTGTCCTCAGACTCAGCATCAGTTCGTTAGGGGTGTGCAAAAATATCAATATATCGTATGGTTTAATGTGATGATACAGTATCGATATCGTGGGCTGCTGTATCGATATATCACCCAGAGTAGTTTTTGGTTTGTTTTACTAAATTATTATGATACAGCTCTACGTTTTTGTTGTTTCGATTCTCTCAGAGTTTCAGGAGAGTCCGACTTTGTGTGTGATTTAGTTTTTTTCAATAACTAGATTTAGAAATGATGAAATGTTGATATATTTTAAAATATTTTGAAAAGTTGATTTATTTTGTAGTCACAAATATAAAACATGTTGTAATAGCGGCGCATCTGAATAGAGACGGCGCTTTTTGTCACAAAGATATTTTACAGAACATTATTCAGCATTATTCATTCACTCTACACCTGCTGATGGAAACTACTGTTGTAGCCACAGCTGCCCTGGGGCAGACTGACAGAAGCACGGCTGCCATGTCCATCGGCGCCATCGGTCCCTCTGAACACCACCATCAAACTCATCTAGACACGAAGAGAAACACAAACTCCACACAGAAAGACCCGGGTGACCCGGGGATCCAACCCACAACCTTCTTGCTGTGAGGCATGAGTGCTAAACAAAAATACAGTAAATAGAGACATGTCATAATACCGGACGGATGTCGTAATACCGGCAGGTCTAAACCAGGACTAAACAAGGTCTAACCCAGGTTTAAACCAGGTCTGAAAACCCGATCTAAACCTGATCTCACCCTGGTCTAACCCAGGTCTGAGCTGGGGTTTCATCTAGTTTGTCCCGTCTTCCTCCTCCTTCGTCTCCTCTTCCTCTCCTCTCGCGCTCTCGTCTTCGTCTTCTTCTTCGTCGTCGTGGAGTTCGTATTTGTCCTTCAGTCGTGTGAGAAGTTGGTTTCTCCTCTGCTCCTCTGCTAACGTCTTCGTGGAGCTCTCCAGCTCGGCGTGGGCTTTCTGCAGCTCCTCACACATCTGCTGGATTTGCTCTTGCAGACGTGTTTTCTCCTGTTTGATCTTTTCATGTTCATCACAGAGAATCTCCATCTCCTCCGACAGTTCTGTGTTCCTCTGTCGTTGTCTCTCTGTCTCTCTACACTCCTCCGATAACCTGTTCTCCACACATTTCAGATCTTCGGACATGCGCTTCTTATAAGATTTAAAAACAAAATTTGAGGAACCGACTCCTGTCCTCAACGTTTCGAGCTCCTCCTTCAAATTCACCTTCTCTGGGTTGAGCTCGGTGACAGTTTTGAGGAGCTCTGAATGGGAGTCTTTCAGCTGAGCATGTTGTTGACGTTCCTCCTTCAGATCTCGTAGGTGTGGGCAGACTTCACCTTCTGCTTCATCACACCTCATCTGAAGTTTCTCCAGCGACTCCTGCTGCAAGCAGATCCTCTTGGTCTGTTCTTCGAAGTGTAAGTGGATGACGCGCGAAAACGTTCGGTTCATCTCCTGTAGCTTCTGGTTCTTAACCGAGGACTTTTTCGATCCTTTCGCACAGATCTTTGTTCTGATTTTCTAAGTTTTGGATCGTCTCGTTTTGTAGCTGGTTCATATTTTTTAAGTTTTGGATCGTCTCGCGCCGTTGCTGGTTCTGATTTTCTAAGTTTTGGATCGTCTGGTTTTGTTGCTGGTTCAGATTTTTTAAATTTTGGATCATCTCGCGCCGTTGCTGGTTCTGATTTTCTAAGTTTTGGATCGTCTTGTTTTGTAGCTGGTTCATATTTTTTAAGTTTTGGTTCCTCTCGTTTTTTTGCTGGTTCTGATTTTCTAAGTTTTGGATCGTCTGGTTTTGTTGCTGGTTCTGATTTTCTAAGTTTTGGATCGTCTCGTGTTGTTCCTGGTTCTGAGTTTCTAAGTTTTGGATCGTCTCGTTTTGTTCCTGGTTCTGATTTTCTAAGTTTTGGATCGTCTCATCTTGTTCCTGGTTCTGATTTTCTAAGTTTTGGATCCTCTCGTTTTGTTCCTGGTTCTGATTTTCTAAGTTTTGGATCCTCTCGTTTTGTTCCTGGTTCTGATTTTCTAACATTTCGATCGTCTCATCTTGTTCCTGGTTCAGATTTTCTAACATTTCGATCATCTCATCTTGTTCCTGGTTCTGATTTTCTAAGTTTTGGATCGTCTCGTTTTGTTCCTGGTTCTGATTGTTTAAGTTTTGGATCGTCTCGTGCAGTTTGTTGTTATGATTTAATGAGTTGTGGATCGTCTCGTTTTGTTGCTGGTTCTTATTTTCTAAGTTTTGGATCGTCTCGTTTTGTTGCTGGTTCTGATTTTCTAAGTTTCGGTTCCTCTCGTTTTGTTGCTGGTTCTGAGTTTCTAAGTTTCGGTTCCTCTCGTTTTGTTCCTGGTTCTGATTTTCTAAGCTTCGGATCCTCTCGTTTTGTTGCTGGTTCTGATTTTCTAAGTTTTGGATCGTCTCGTTTTGTTCCTGGTTCTGATTGTTTAAGTTTTGGATCGTCTCGTGCAGTTTGTTGTTATGATTTAATGAGTTGTGGATCGTCTCGTTTTGTTGCTGGTTCTTATTTTCTAAGTTTTGGATCGTCTCGTTTTGTTGCTGGTTCTGATTTTCTAAGTTTCGGTTCCTCTCGTTTTGTTGCTGGTTCTGAGTTTTCTAAGTTTCTGTTCCTCTCGTTTTGTTGTTGGTTCTGATTTTCTAAGTTTTGGATCGTCTCGTTTTGTTCCTGGTTCTGATTTTTTAAGTTTCGGATCCTCTCGTGCAGTTCCTGGTTCTCAGCCTCTAAGATTTGGCGCTTGACCTTAGGTCGAGAGTTTCTAAAAAAACACCAGGGCATTTTTCTGTTTAAATATGCAGTAAAGAGAGAGAAAAGCTCTAGTGTAAACGTGCAGTAGTAGCTCTAGTAGCAGTACACGCAGTACACGCAGTAGTCGTAGTACACGCAGTAGAAGTGGCAGTATTCTGTGTCTGTAGTGTTTGTTTCGTGTTATACTTATAATCTTCTTCAAAACAGGAAGTTGCTTTGTGCTTTGTGCTTGTCCTTTACTGATGATGTCATAAAGCAGAGCGCTGCTTTGAAGTAGCAGTAGTAAAAGTATTAGTAAAAGTATTCTGTCACTTTAGTGTTTATTTCACTGTGTCACTCAAAGTTTACTTTAAAGCAGCGTCGTGCTTCTCTGATGATGTCATCAAGCAGAGTTCTATCACCATGGAGATCCAGGGCGGCATTAGAACATCACGTTGCTACGGCGACAGCTTCTCAGGCTCCAAAACTATTTTAGATTCTAGAATGTGATGATGTCATCGTCCCAGAGGGGAGGAGCTAAATCATTTTCCCGGTGATTACGATGTACTTTTCCATCTGTATTAATATTAGATGGAAACCATGGCAACAGAGAGGTGGTCTGCTCTTGTGGAAGCTTTCACATGTTGAACGTTTAATGTTGTTTTTTTATAATTAACAAAACTAGTCGATCTCACCTGGGACAGAAGGGGAGGGGCTTAGATCAGAGAGATCAGGAGTCTAACCCACAACCTCCTGGTGAGAGGGAGGAGACAGGACAACCGCCCGACATCAGAGCGTTTGTGAAAGCAGCGGCTGAAACGTCCCCAACACATTTGCACGACTTCATTGTTTTTGCTGATTCAAGGAAAGTTACTCAGAAAATACTCAGGTAAAGGGGCGGGGCCTCACTGCTCAGGTAAAGGGGCGGGGCCTCACTGCTCAGGTAAAGGGGCGGGTAAAGTCTGACCTGTTCATTTTCAGAAAAGTCCTGGTGTTTGACACAAAGAAATACAAATTGAATTCACACAATAATAATAATAACCCAGTTTTGTTTTGTATGTGAACTAGAAGTGCACAGTCTGATCTTTGAACACTGAAGAGTCTCAAAGTGAGTGGTTTTACTGTAGACAGGAAACAGGTGACACAAAGGTCTGCACACAGATCCCGCTTCAGTCTTTACGATCGTTCTTTACGCTCGTTCTTAACAATCGTTCTTTATGTTCGTTCTTAACGCTCGTTCTTAAAGTTCGTTCTTAACATTCGTTCTTTACGCTCGTTTTTTACGTTCGTTCTTTACACTCATTCTTAACAATCGTTCTGTATGTTCATTCTTTACGCTCGTTCTTAACAATTGTTCTTTACGTTTGTTCTTTACGCTTGTTCTTTAGTCCCGGTTCAGACCTGGTTAGATCTTGGTTTAGTCCTGGTTTAGTCCTGGTTTGGTCCTGGTTTAGTCTGCGTGTTCTCTCTGTGTCTGAGACTGTTTAAAAAATTATTTTAGGAAAATGAAAAATTCAAACACACTTTTTATTATTAGTATTTTTTATTTAAATCAGCAGGTTAGACAAATACAAGTACAAGTACAAGTACACAACGACAGGACTGTAACCAAACTGAATACTGCAGAAACAAAGCACCAGATAGACAGTACTGCAGTATTCAGAGCAGAACTGCATTTAGAGACTTTGAGACGTGTAACAGTTTTTTTTATATTTTCAGGTTAAATAAAAAAATGAAATATTGAGCTTCTGTATAAAAAGTGAAGTATAAATATGTGAAAATACTGACGACGACGAATACTTTAGTTTGAAACAAAAACCCGACGACAACGATGACAGCAGCAGCAGCAGCAGCAGCGCATCCTGGGAACTGCAGTCCTCAGATCTGCCGAAGGGCGGGGCTAGAGTGTGTCAGGGGGCGGGGTCAGACCTGAGGGGCGGGGTTAGAGTGGGTTAAGGGGCGTGGTCACGGGGAGGGGGGCGTGGTCTCGTAGGATGTCCCGCGGCGAGCGCAGGAACAGCAGGAGGACGGTGATGTTGTCGCTGGAGCCCGAGTCTTTGGCCCGAGACACGAGAAACTGAGCGGCTCTGACAGCGGCCTCCTCCGGGTCCGAGTGCGGGTCCGAGTGCGGGTCCGGTCCCGTCTCCGGTCCCGTCTCCGGTCCCGTCTCCGGTCCCGTCTCCGGTCCCGTCTCTGCCTGGGGCCCCGGGCTCCTGAGGGCCTCCAGCACCAGGCCGGGCACCTCGGCGGGTTTGACGACGTCGAAGAATCCGTCACAGGCCAAGAGCAGGAAGTCCTCGTCCCCCCGGAGCTCCACCGACCTGCAGTCCGCCTCCGACGACACGTACGGGCGCTGGTCAAAGTCCCCTGGGGTCACACGGGGGTCAGAGTTCACACACGCACAGAAGTGTCTTGCTCAGAGGCACGGGACTTACCGAAGGCCCTGGACACGGCGTACGTCCCGTTCACTCGCCAACATCCCATAAATGTCACACAGCCGCCCAAGTCCTCGATCCTCCTCCTCTCATCCTGAAACCAGAACCAGAACCAGGACTCAACCAGGACCAGACCAGAACCAGGACTACTCCAGGTCTAGTATGAGTCTAATCCAGGTCTCACCTCTCGGTCGGGTTTGTGAGTCGGGTCTGCGGGTCGGGTTTGTGAGTCGGGTCTGCGGGTCGGGTCTCTGGGTCGGGTTTGTGAGTCGGGTCTGCGGGTCGGGTCTGCGGGTCTCACCTCTCGGTCGGGTTTGTGAGTCGGGTCTGCGGGTCGGGTTTGTGAGTCGGGTCTGCGGGTCAGGTCTCTGGGTCGGGTTTGTGAGTCGGGTCTGCGGGTCGGGTCTGCGGGTCTCACCTCTCGGTCGGGTTTGTGCGGGTCCATGATTTCCTCTTCGGTGCCGTTGCGGACGAGCAGAGCCTGAGAGTCGCCGAGCCAGGCCACCAGGAGGCGCTGTCCCTGCACCAGCGCCGCTACAGCCGTAGAACCACCACGAACCCGCTGACACAAGAAGAAGAAGAGAGGGTGGGGTCAAAGGGGGACAGGTGTGGGCGGGGGCAGGTGACAGGTGTGGGCGGGGACAGGTGACAGGTGTGGGCGGGGACAGGTGAGGGCGGGGACAGGTGCTCACCTCTCGTTGCGCCCTCTGCTGGAGCAGGCGGTCGGTCTCGTTAAAGGCTCGTTTGAAGGCGCTCTCGGGGTCAGAGGTCAGGTCCGTCTGGCGGCTCAGAGCCACGTGGAGATGAACCGCAGCGAAGGAGGCGGAGTCAACGCCGCCGTGTCCGTCAAACACCGCCAGGTACGAACGCGGGACGCCGTCCTGACGCCGCGAACGCACAGAAAAGAGAGAAGAAGAAAACGACAGATCAACACAAACAGCTGTCACTATTTACATGATACTTCAGTACTTGGAGTAGTACGAGTAGTACTTGTAGTAGTACTTGTAGTAGTGCTTGTAGTAGTGCTTGTAGTACTCGTAGTACCTGGAGTCCGAAGAGTTGGCTGAAGTGAGGGATGACCACGTGTTTGTCCTCCATCTTGCGGCGGGAGTTTCTGATGGCGTGAGCCGACACCAGGGGGCGGGGCACCGCGGGCAGAGCGGGAACATCGCCACGCCAACGGAGGGCGGAGCTTATGAGAGCGTTCACCAACAGACGCTGAAGCCCCGCCCACTCCAACACTGACGGACACATGAGAGAGAGAGAGTTAAAGTCAGGTCCTCTGACAGCGACAGGTGCTGCTCCTGTCAATCCTTTGGTCCAGAAGCTCCTTTTGTTTGCTTTTATTCATTTTTTGTTCATTTGTATTTGTTTTTTTGTTCGTTTTTATTTGTTTTTTGTTCATTTTTATTTGTTTTTTTGTTTGTTTATATTCGTTTTTTTGTTCATTTTAATTCGTTTTTTTGTTCGTTTTTATTAGTTTTTTGTTCATTTTTATTCGTTTTTGTGTTTTTTTGTTTTTGTTATTTTTATTTCGTTTTTTTGTTCGTTTTTATTCGTTTTTTTGTTCATTTTTTTTCGTTTTTTCATTTTTATTCGTTTTTTGTTCGTTTTTATTCGTTTTTTGTTCGTTTTTATTCGTTTTTTGTTCGTTTTTATTCATTTTTTGTTCGTTTTTATTCGTTTTTGTGTTCGTTTTTATTCGTTTTTGTGTTCGTTTTTATTCGTTTTTGTGTTCGTTTTTTGTACATTTTTATTCGTTTTTGTGTTCGTTTTTATTCGTTTTTGTACATTTTTATTCGTTTTTTTGTTCGTTTTTATTCGTTTTTTGTACATTTTTATTTGTTTTTTGTTCGCTTTTATTCGTTTTTTGTTCGTTTTAATTTGTTTTTTGTTCATTTTTATTCGTTTTTGTGTTCATTTTTTGTTCATTTTTATTTGATTTTGTTCATTTTTATTCGTTTTTTGTTCGTTTTTTGTTCATTTTTATTTGATTTTGTTCATTTTTATTCATTTTTGTGTTCGTTTTTATTCGTTTTTTGTTCGTTTTATTTGTTTTTTGTTTTTTTATTTGTTTTTTTGTTTGCTTTTTTTTGTTCATTTTTATTCATTTTTTTGTTCATTTTGATTCGTTTTTTTGTTCTTTTTTATTCATTTTTTGTTCGTTTTAATTCGTTTTTGTTCATTTTTATTCGTTTTTTGTTCATTTTTATTCGTTTTTTTGTTCGCTTTTATTCGTTTTTTGTTTGCTTTTTTTCGATTTTTGTTCGTTTTAATTCGTTTATTGTTCATTTTTATTTGTTTTTTTGTTCGTTTTTATTCGGTTTTTGTTCATTTTTATTCATTTTTTTGTTCATTTTTATTCGTTTTTTTGTTCGCTTTTATTCGGTTTTTGTTCATTTTTATTAGTTTTTTTGTTCATTTTTATTAGTTTTTTTGTTCGTTTTTATTCATTTTTTTGTTCGTTTTAATTCGTTATTTGTTCGTTTTTATTCATTTTTGTGTTTTTTATTCGTTTTTTTGTTCGTTTTATTCGTTTTTTGTTCATTTTTATTTGTTTTTATTTGTTTTTTGTTCATTTTTATTTGTTTTTTGTTCGTTTTAATTCGTTTTTTGTTCGTTTTTATTCGTTTTTGTGTTCGTTTTAATTCTTTTTTGTTTGTTTTTGTTCATTTTTATTTGTTTTTTGTTCGTTTTAATTCGTTTTTTGTTCGTTTTTATTCGTTTTTGTGTTCGTTTTAATTCTTTTTTTGTTTGTTTTTATTTGTTTTTATTCGTTTTGTTTTTGTTGGTGTAAAAGTTTCAGTCGGGCTCAGATCTGCTCTGAACCAAACGGACTCAGACAAAATAATCTGGTCTCGGTCCAAACTCAGGTCCCTCAGGTCCAGACCAGCTGCTCCAGATGCATCATGGGAGGGAGAGTCGTGATGTCACTTCCTGTTTGTGGTGAATGAAAAAGACGAGGGACGAAGCTCGACTCAGACCTGCACCTGATACTGCAGATACTGAAGGTCCACCAGGTCCACCAGGTCCACCTGTGTGTGCGCCGGGTCAGCTCCACAGGTAAAGTGTGTGACAGGGGCCCCTGTCGGCGTCTGGAGGTTTGTGAGTCTTGTCGGCTCAGAGACTTAGGTTTGAAAAACTGGGACAGGGACCGACCTGCCCGTACACAGACAGGAGCGCACCTGACACACAGGGGGAGACTGTCGAACTCACAGACAGGTGCATCACTGTCGAACTCACAGACAGGTGCATCACTGTCGAACTCACAGACAGGTGCGTCACTGTCAGACTCACAGACAGGTGCGTCACTGTCAGACTCACAGACAGGTGCGCCCCTGTCAGACTCACAGACAGGTGCGTCACTGTCAGACTCACAGACAGGCGCGCCCCTGTCAGACTCACAGACAGGTGCGTCACTGTCAGACTCACAGACAGGTGCGCCCCCGTCCTCCGGGGGTTGTGGCAGGTGCAGGGGCGACAGGTGGTTCTGCAGAAGCTCCGACGTCGCCGAGTGACACAGAAGAGACGCCACGAGGGGCGGAGCCTCTCTGAAACAAACAAACAAACAAATAAACAAATAAATAAATAAAACCTGAGAACAGAACAGAGAGAAACAGACGACAGAAGAAAAGAGAAAGAAAAAAGACGAGGAGGAAACGCGGAGCGAAAACACGACTCGAGAAAACAATGAGAGGAAGAGCAGACAGGAGCAGACAGGAGCAGACAGGAGCAGACAGGGGCAGACAGGGGCAGACAGGGGCAGACAGGGGCAGACAGGAGCAGACAGGAGCAGACAGGAGCAGACAGGGGCAGACAGGGGCAGACAGGAGCAGACAGGAGCAGACAGGAGCAGACAGGGGCAGACAGGGGCAGACAGGGCAGACAGGGGCAGACAGGAGCAGACAGAGGAGCAGACAGGGGCAGACAGGGGCAGATAGGGGCAGACAGGGGCAGACAGAGCAGACAGGAGCAGACAGGGGCAGACAGGGGCAGACAGGGGCAGACAGGGGCAGACAGGGGCAGACAGGGGCAGACAGGGGCAGACAGGAGCAGACAGGGGCAGACAGGAGCAGACAGGGGCAGACAGGGGCAGACAGTGTTTGTGCAAGAACTGAGCTGCAGGAATGACAAGAATGTTCCAACATAAAGACCAAAACAAGACCTGGTTTAGTCCTGGTTTAGTTCTGGTCTAGTCCTGGTCTAGTCCTGGTCTAGTCCTGGTTTAGTCCTGGTCTAGTCCTGGTCTAGTCCTGGTCTAGTCCTGGTTAGTCCTGGTTTAGTCCTGGTTTAGTCCAGGTTTAGACCTGGTTTAGACCTGGTTTAGTCCTGGTTTAGTCCTGGTTTAGACCTGGTTTAGACCTGGTTTATTCCTGGTTCAGTCCTGGTCTAGTCCTGGTCCTGGTTTGGTCCTGGTTTAGACCTAGTTTAGACCTGGTTTAGACCTGGTTTAGACCTGTTATAGACCTGGCTTAGACCTGGTTTAATCCTGGTTTAGTCCTGGTTTAGTCCTGGTTTAGTCCTGGTTTAGTCCTGGTTTAGTCCTGGTTTAGTCCTGGTCTAGTCCTGGTCTAGTCCTGGTCTAGTCCTGGTCTAGTCCTGGTTTAGTCCTGGTTTAGTCCAGGTTTAGACCTGGTTTAGACCTGGTTTAGTCCTGGTTTAGACCTGTTATAGACCTGGTTCAGTCCTGGTTCAGTCCTGGTCTAGTCCTGGTCCTGGTTTGGTCCTGGTTTAGACCTAGTTTAGACCTGGTTTAGACCTGGTTTAGACCTGTTATAGACCTGGTCTAGTCCTGGTCTTGTCCTGGTTTGGTCCTGGTTTAGTCCTGGTTTAGTCCTGATTTAGACCTGGTTTAGTCCTGGTTTAGTCCTGGTTTAGACCTGGTCTAGTCCTGGTCTAGTCCTGGTCTAGTCCTGGTCCTGGTTTAGACCTGGTTTAGACCTGGTTTTGTCCTGGTTTAGTCCTGGTTTAGTCCTGGTTTAGTCCTGGTTTAGTCCTGGTCTAGTCCCGGTTTAGTCCTGGTTTAGTCCTGGTTTAGTCCTGGTTTAGTCCTGGTCTAGTCCCGGTTTAGACCCGGTTTAGTCCTGGTCCTGGTTTAGTCCTGGTTTAGACCCGGTTTAGTTCCGGTTTAGTCCCGGTTTAGTCCCGGTTTAGTCCTGGTTTAGTCCTGGTTTCATCCTGGTCCTGGTTTAGTCCTGGTTTAGACCCGGTTTAGTTCAGGTTTAGTCCCGGTTTAGTCCCGGTTTAGTCCCGGTTTAGTCCCGGTTTAGTCCTGGTCCTGGTTTAGTCCTGGTTTAGACCTGTTATAGACCTGGTTTAGACCTGGTTTAGTCCTGGTCCTGGTTTAGTCCCGGTTTAGTCCCGGTTTAGTCCCGGTTTAGTCCCGGTTTAGTCCGGTTTTAGTCCCGGTTTAGTCCCGGTCCTGGTTAGTCCTGGTTTAGTCCTTTTAGACCTGGTTTAGACCCGGTTCAGTCCCGGTTCAGACCCGGTTCAGTCCCGGTTCAGTCCCGGTTCAGTCCCGGTTTCAGACCCGGTTTAGTCCCGGTTCAGTCCCGGTTTAGAGTCCCGGTTCAGTCCCGGTTTAGTCCCGGTTTAGACCTGGTCTTAGTCCTGGTCTAGTCCTGGTCCTGGTTTAGTCCTGGTTTAGTCCTGGTTTAGACCTGGTCCTGGTTTAGTCCTGGTTTAGACCCGGTTTAGTTCCGGTTTAGTCCCGGTTTAGTCCTGGTCCTGGTTTAGTCCTGGTTTAGACCTGTTATAGACCTGGTTTAGACCTGGTTTGGTCCTGGTCCTGGTTTAGTCCTGGTTTAGACCTCTTATAGACCTGGTTTAGTCCTGGTTTAGTCCCGGTTTAGTCCTGGTTTAGACCCGGTTTAGTCCCGGTTCAGTCCCGGTTTAGTCCCCGGTTTAGACCCGTTTAGTCCCGGTTTAGTCCGGTTTAGACCCGGTTTAGTCCCGGTTTAGACCCGGTTTAGACCCGGTTTTAGACCTGGGTTAGTCCCGGTTCAGTCCCGGTTCAGTCCCGGTTTAGATCCGGTTTAGACCCGGTTTAGTCCCGGTTTAGTCCTGGTTTAGACCCGGTTTAGTCCCGGTTTAGACCCGGTTTAGTCCTGGTTTAGTCCTGGTTTAGACCTGGTTTAGTCCTGGTTTAGTCCTGGTTTAGACCTGGTTTAGTCCTGGTTTAGTCCTGGTTCAGTCCCGGTTTAGACCCGGTTTAGTCCCGGTTTAGACCCGGTTTAGTCCTGGTTTAGACCTGGTTTAGACCTGGTTTAGTCCTGGTTTAGTCCTGGTTTAGACCCGGTTTAGTCCCGGTTTAGACCCGGTTTAGTCCTGGTTTAGACCCGGTTTAGTCCCGGTTTAGACCTGGTTTAGTCCCGGTCTAGTCCTGGTTTAGTCCTGGTCCTGGTTTAGTCCTGGTTTAGTCCTGGTCCTGGTTTAGTCCCGGTATAGTCCCGGTTTAGACCTGGTTTAGTCCTGGTCTAGTCCTGGTCCTGGTTTAGTCCCGGTATAGTCCCGGTTTAGTCCTGGTCTAGTCCTGGTCCTGGTCCTAGTCCTGGTTTAGTCCTGGTTTAGTCCTGGTTTAGACCTGGTTTAGACCTGGTTTAGTCCTGGTTTAGTCCTGGTCCTGGTTTAGTCCTGGTTTAGACCCGGTTTAGTCCCGGTTTAGTCCCGGTTTAGTCCCGGTTTAGTCCCAGTTTAGTCCCAGTTTAGTCCCGGTTTAGTCCTGTTATAGACCTGGTTTAGTCCTGGTTTAGTCCTGGTCCTGGTTTAGTCCTGGTTTAGACCTCTTATAGACCTGGTTTAGTCCCGGTTTAGTCCCGGTTTAGTCCCGGTTCAGTCCCGGTTCAGTCCCGGTTTAGTCCCGGTTTAGTCCCGTTCAGTCCCGGTTTAGTCCTGGTCCTGGTTTAGTAGACCTGGTTTAGACCTGGTTTAGTCCTGGTTTAGTCCCGGTTTAGTCCCGGTTTAGTCCCGGTTTAGTCCCGGTTTAGTCCCGGTTTAGTCCTGGTTTAGTCCTGGTCCTGGTTTAGTCCTGGTTTAGACCCGGTTTAGTCCCGGTTTAGTCCCAGTTTAGTCCCGGTTTAGTCCTGGTTTAGTCCTGGTTTCATCCTGGTCCTGGTTTAGTCCTGGTTTAGACCCGGTTTAGTTCAGGTTTAGTCCCGGTTTAGTCCCAGTTTAGTCCCGGTTTAGTCCCGGTTTAGTCCCGGTTTAGTCCTGGTCCTGGTTTAGTCCTGGTTTAGACCTGTTATAGACCTGGTTTAGACCTGGTTTAGTCCTGGTCCTGGTTTAGACCTGGTTTAGTCCCGGTTTAGTCCCGGTTTAGTCCCAGTTTAGTCCCAGTCCTGGTTTAGTCCTGGTTTAGACCTCTTATAGACCTGGTTTAGACCCGGTTTAGTCCCGGTTTAGTCCCGGTTCAGTCCCGGTTCAGTCCCGGTTTAGTCCCGGTTTAAGTCCCGGTTTAGTCCGTCCTGGTTTAGTCCTGGTTTAGTCCTGGTTTAGTCCTGGTTTAGTCCTGGTTTAGTCCTGGGTTTAAGTCCTGGTTTAGACCCGGTTTAGTCCGGTTTAGTCCCGGTTTAGTCCCGGTTTAGTCCTGGTTTAGACCTGTTATAGACCTGGTTTAGACCTGGTTTAGTCCTGGTCCTGGTTTAGACCTGGTTTAGTCCCGGTTTAGTCCCGGTTTAGTCCCGGTTTAGTCCTCCCTGGTTTAGACCTGGTTTAGTCCCGGTTTAGTCCCGGTTTAGTCCCGGTTTAGTCCCGGTTTAGACCCGGTTTAGGTCCCGGTTCAGTCCCGGTTCAGTCCCGGTTTAGTCCCGGTTTAGTCCCGGTTTAGACCCGGTTTAGACCCGGTCCCGGTTAGTCCCGGTTAGTCCCGGTTTAGTCCCGGTTTAGACCCGTTAGTCCCGGTTCAGTCCCGGTCCGGTTTAGACCCGGTTTAGTCCCGGGTTTAGTCCCCGGTTTAGACCCGGTTTAGTCCTGGTTTAGACCCGGTTTAGACCGGTTTAGTCCTGGTTTAGTCCTGGTTTAGTCCCGGTTCAGTCCCGGTTTAGACCGGTTTAGTCCGGTTTAGTCCTGGTTTAGACCCGGTTCAGTCCTGGTTTAGACCCGGTTTAGTCCCGGTTTAGTCCCGGTTTAGACCCGGTTTAGACCCGGTTCAGTCCCGGTTCAGTCCCGGTTCAGATCCGGTTTAGACCCGGTTTAGTCCCGGTTTAGACCCGGTTTAGTCCGGTTTAGTCCCGGTTTAGACCCGGTTTAGTCCCGGTTTAGTCCTGGTTTAGACCTGGTTTAGTCCTGGTTTAGTCCGGTTTAGTCCCGGTTCAGTCCCGGTTTAGACCCGGTTTAGTCCCGGTTTAGTCCCGGTTTAGACCCGGTTTAGTCCCGGTTTAGTCCCGGTTTAGACCTGGTTTAGACCTGGTTTAGTCCTGGTTTAGTCCCGGTTCAGTCCCGGTTTAGACCCGGTTTAGTCCGGTTTAGTCCTGGTTTAGTCCCGGTTTAGACCTGGTTTAGACCCGGTTTAGTCCTGGTTTAGACCGGTTTAGTCCCGGTTTAGTCCCGGTTTAGACCCGGTTTAGTCCTGGTTTAGACCCGGTTTAGTCCCGGTTTAGACCCGGTTTAGTCCTGGTTTAGTCCCGGTCCCTCACCTGTCGGTCAGGAGTCTGAGTCCCAGGTCCAGACTTTCTCCGTGGACTTCTTCAGGTGAGATGTTTCTGCTCGTGGAGGTGAGGGGCAGGGGAGTGTCTTGCTCAAGGGCTGCAGGAAATTCATCTGTGAACCTGGAGATGAAACGACGAACCTCCAGGTCCTCCATGACCTGAAACTGAACCAGGACTAGACCAGGACTAGACCAGGACTAGACCAGAACTAGACCAGGACTAGACCAGGACTAGACCAGACTAGACCAGGACTAGACCAGAAGACCAGACTAGACCAGGACTAGACCAGAACTAGACCAGGACTAGACCAGACCAGACTAGACCAGACTAGACCAGAACCAGACTAGACCAGGACTAAGACCAGGACTAAACCAGGACTAAACCAGGACCAGGACTAGACCAGGACTAGACCAGGACTAAACTAGACTAGACTAGACCAGGACTAGACCAGACCAGGACTAAACCAGGACCAGGACTACCCAGGACTAGACCAGGACTAGACCCAGGACTAAACCGGGTCTAAACCAGGTCTAAACCAGTAACCAGGACTAAACCAGGACTAAACCAAAACCAGGACTAAACCAGGACTAAACAGGACAGGTCTAAACCAGGACTAAACCAGGTCTAAACCAGGTCTAAACCAGGACTAGACCAGGACTAGACCAGGACTAGACCAGGACTAGACCAGGTCTAAACAGACTAGGACTAAACCAGGACTAAACCAGGACTAAACCAGACTAGAACCAGGACTAGACCAGGACTAACCAGGACTAAACCAGGACTAAACCAGGTCTAAACAGGACTAAAGGTCTAGGACTAAACCAGGTCTAAACCAGGACTAAACCAGGACCCTAGACCAGGACTAAAGGACTAAACAGGACTAAACAGGTCTAAACCAGGTCTAAACCAGGTAAACCAGACTAAACCAGGTCTAAACCAGGACTAAACCAGGACTAAACCAGGACTAAACCAGGACCAGGACTAAACCAGGACTAAACCAGGTCTAAAACAGGACTAAATTAGGTCTAAACCAGGTCTAAACCAGGACTAAACCAGGTCTAAACCAGGACTAGACCAGGACTAGACCAGGACTAGACCAGGTCTATAACAGGACTAAACCAGGACTAAACCAGGACTAAACCAAGACTAAACCAGACTAAACCAAGACTAAACCAGGACCAGGACTAGACCAGGACTAAACCAGGTCTAAAACAGGACTAAATTAGGTCTAAACCAGGACTAAACCAGGTCTAAACCAGGACTAACCAGGACTAACCAGGACTAAACCAGGACTAAAAGGACTAGACCAGGACTAAACCAGGTCTAAACCAGCTAAACCAGGACTAAACCAGGTCTAAACCAGGTCTAAACCAGGTCTAAACCAGGTCTAAACCAGGTCTAAACCAGGACTAACCAGGACTAAACCAGGTCTAAACCAGGACTAGACCAGGACTAAACCAGGACTAAACCAGGACTAAACCAGGTCTAAACCAGGACTAGACCAGGACTAAACCAGGTCTAAACCAGGACTAGACCAGGACTAAACCAGGTCTAAACCAGGACTAAACCAGGACTAAACTCGAGTCTGTTTTGTTCTTGTTCGTTTCCGGTTCGGTTCGAGTTTGAAACAGAAAAACTTCACATTTCTAAATAAATCTGGAGTAAAAGTTCCGAACCTGCGGCTCCACGGCTCCGGGTCTGCGGCTCCGGGTCTGCGGCTCCGGGTCTTTAGACTTTAGAAACACTCAAGTCCTGAAATGTTCCAGAGCAGAGACGGAGGCGCGCGCTCCGCTTCCGCCGCTCCCTGAGCGCGGGCACGAGCCGCGAGAGCGCGCCCCCTGGAGACCCGGAGGACCCGGATGTCCCGCTGTCCTCTGACTATATAGGGACAGATAATACTCCCTACAACTGTACAACTCACTTATGTAACAGATAATACTCCCTACAAATGTACAACTCACTTATGTAACAGATAATACTCCCTACAACTGTACGATCGTTGTTTTCCTTTTGTATAAATCTGAGATTTTATATTTTATTTTTCTTGTACATTTATATTTTTATAATTATATTTTATTTCACACGAGTTCATTTTTTTGCTGCTGATTTTGATTTTATTATTTTTATTTTATTTGTTTTTAATTTATTTTGTGTTTGTGATTCAAAACATTTCCCTGTGAACAATAAAGTTTAAGTCTAAAATACTCAGAGTACTGCAGTATTCAGATACTTTGAGTACTTTTGAATACTGCAGTATTCAGATACTTTGAGTACTTTTGAGTACTGCAGTATTCAGATACTTTGAGTACTTTTGAGTACTGCAGTATTCAGATACTTTGAGTACTTTTGAGTACTTTTGAGTACTTTTGAGTACTGCAGTATTCAGATACTTTGAGTACTTTTGAGTACTGCAGTATTCAGACGGTGAAATAGACATGAAGCTGTTTTTATTTCCAGGTCACGTCTTTATTTTAAACACAACACAAAGTAAAAGTATCTGAAGTATTCAGATACTGCAGTATTCTGACCCTGGATCAGAGTACCGCAGTACCCGCAGTAGTATTTGCAGTATTTGCAGTATTTGCAGTGAGCGGAAGAGTTTGTCAGACGAAATACGCCGCCAGCGCCGCCATCTTGTCCTTGGGTTTCTTGGGTCCGGCTCGTCGTCCTCGTCCTCGTCCTCGTCCTCGTCCTCGTCCCCCGCGGTGCATCGGGTGTTTGAGGGCGGCGTGTTTCAGCTCCACCAGGTCCTCGAACATCGGGTCACAGAAGACGCAGCCGGACCTGTGAGTGTCCCCCCCAGGCAGAGGACAGCGGGACTTATTAAAGTCCACGTCCACCAGGGACGCGTCACATGACTCGCACGACTCCGACGACACCTGAGACACGCCCACGGGTGAGACACGCCCACGGGTGAGACACGCCCACGGGGACAGACAGGTGAGAGACAGGTGAGACAGGAGAGACAGGTGAGAGACAGGAGTAAATCAGGACTACATCAGGTCTACGTCGGGTCTACATCAGGTCTACATCGGGACTACATCGGGACTACATCGGGACTACATCGGGACTACATCGGGACTACATCAGGACTACGTCGGGTCTACATCAGGTCTACATCAGGACTACATCAGGACTACATCAGGACTACGTCGGGTCTACGTCGGGTCTACATCAGGTCTACATCAGGACTACGTCGGGTCTACGTCGGGTCTACGTCGGGACTACATCGGGACTACATCAGGACTACATCAGGACTACATCAGGACTACATCAGGACTACGTCGGGTCTACGTCGGGACTACGTCGGGACTACATCAGGTCTACATCAGGACTACATCAGGACTACATCAGGTCTACATCAGGTCTACATCAGGTCTACATCAGGTCTACATCAGGACTACGTCGGGACTACGTCGGGTCTACGTCGGGACTACGTCGGGACTACATCAGGTCTACATCAGGACTACATCAGGACTACATCAGGTCTACATCAGGACTACATCGGGACTACGTCGGGTCTACGTCGGGACTACGTCGGGACTACATCGGGACTACATCGGGACTACATCAGGACTACATCAGGACTACGTCGGGTCTACATCAGGTCTACATCAGGACTACATCAGGACTACATCAGGACTACATCAGGACTACGTCGGGTCTACGTCGGGTCTACATCAGGTCTACATCAGGACTACGTCGGGTCTACGTCGGGACTACGTCGGGACTACGTCGGGACTACATCGGGTCTACGTCGGGTCTACGTCGGGTCTACGTCGGGTCTACATCAGGTCTACGTCAGGACTACGTCGGGTCTACGTCGGGACTACGTCGGGACTACATCGGGTCTACGTCGGGTCTACGTCGGGTCTACGTCGGGACTACGTCGGGACTACGTCGGGACTACGTCGGGACTACATCAGGACTACGTCGGGACTACATCAGGACTACATCAGGTCTACATCAGGACTACATCAGGTCTACATCAGGACTACGTCGGGACTACATCGGGTCTACATCAGGACTACATCAGGTCTACATCAGGACTACATCAGGTCTACATCAGGTCTACGTCAGGACTACGTCGGGTCTACGTCGGGTCTACGTCGGGTCTACGTCGGGTCTACATCAGGACTACTTCAGGTCTACGTCGGGTCCGTCCCGGGTCCGTACCTGGACTTTGTGGGCGTGTTCGAAGAAGTGAACCACCACGTTACATTTGTTACACGACATCCTCCACTTGGGACCCGACGTCTGGTCCAGAACCAGAACCCCAGACTCACACTCCACACACTGACCGATGCCCAGAGACGCCAGGGAGTGAACGCACGAAGGGTGTGTGCACTCGTTACACCCTAGACCTGCGCACACACACAGATACACACAGGGAGTGAACGCACGAAGGGTGTGTGCACTCGTTACACCCTAGACCTGCGCACACACACAGATACACACAGGGAGTGAACGCACGAAGGGTGTGTGCACTCGTTACACCCTAGACCTGCGCACACACACAGATACACACAGGGAGTGAACGCACGAAGGGTGTGTGCACTCGTTACACCCTAGACCTGCACACACACACACACACACACACACACACACTGACCGATGCCCAGAGACGTGTGTGACAGGGTGTGTCAGTGTGTGTATAGTACGTTTCTTCATGTCTCTGAAGGGTGTGTGTGACAGGTGTGTGTGACGGGTGTGTGTGTGACAGGTGTGTGTGAGACAGGTGTGTGTGAGACAGGTGTGTGTGTATAGTACCTTTCTTCATGTCTCTGAAGGGTGTGTGTGTCAGGTGTGTGTGACGGGTGTGTGTGTCAGGGGTGTGTGTGTCAGGGGTGTGTGTATAGTACCTTTCTTCATGTCTCTGAAGGGTGTGTGTGACAGGTGTGTGTGACAGGTGTGTGTGTACAGTACCTTTCTTCATGTCTCTGAAGGGTGTGTGTGACAGGTGTGTGTGACAGGTGTGTGTGTATAGTACCTTTCTTCATGTCTCTGAAGGGTGTGTGTGACAGGTGTGTGTGACAGGTGTGTGTGAGACAGGTGTGTGTGTGACAGGTGAGTGTGTATAGTACCTTTCTTCATGTCTCTGAAGGGTGTGTGTGACAGGTGAGTGTGTACAGTACCTTTCTTCATGTCTCTGAAGGGTGTGTGTGACAGGTGAGTGTGTGTCAGGTGAGTGTGTACAGTACCTTTCTTCATGTCTCTGAAGGGTGTGTGTGACAGGTGTGTGTGTATAGTACCTTACTTCATGTCTCTGAATGGTGTGTGTGTCAGGTGAGTGTGTATAGTACCTTTCTTCATGTCTCTGAAGGGTGTGTGTGTCAGGTGTGTGTGACAGGTGTAAGTGACAGGTGTGTGTGTGACAGGTGAGTGTGTATAGTACCTTTCTTCATGTCTCTGAAGGGTGTGTGTGACAGGTGAGTGTGTGAGAGGTGTGTGTGTGACAGGTGAGTGTGTATAGTACCTTTCTTCATGTCTCTGAATGGTGTGTGTGACAGCTGTATGTGTGACAGGTGAGTGTGTGACAGGTGAGTGTGTATAGTACCTTTCTTCATGTCTTTGAAAAGTGTGTGTGTCAGGTGTGTGTGACAGGTGTAAGTGACAGGTGTGTGTGTGACAGGTTAGTGTGTATAGTACCTTTCTTCATGTCTCTGAATGGTGTGTGTGACAGCAGTATGTGTGACAGGTGAGTGTGTGACAGGTGTGTATAGTACCTTTCTTCATGTCTCTGAAGGGTGTGCGTGTCAGGTGAGTGTGTATAGTACCTTTCTTCATGTCTCTGAAGGGTGTGTGTGACAGGTGAGTGTGTGTCAGGTGAGTGTGTATAGTACCTTTCTTCATGTCTCTGAAGGGTGTGTGTGTCAGGTGAGTGTGTATAGTACCTTTCTTCATGTCTCTGAAGGGTGTGTGTGACAGGTGTGTGTGTGACAGGTGAGTGAGTGTGTGAGGTGAGTGTGTGACAGGTGAGTGTGTATAGTACCTTTCTTCATGTCTCTGAAGGGTGTATGTGACAGGCATGTGTGTGACAGGTGAGTGTGTATAGTACCTTTCTTCATGTCTCTGAAGGGTGTGTGTGTCAGGTGAGTGTGTATAGTACCTTTCTTCATGTCTCTGAAGGGTGTGTGTGACAGGTGTGTGTGTGACAGGTGTGTGTGTGACAGGTGAGTGTGTATAGTACCTTTCTTCATGTCTCTGAAGGGTGTGTGTGACAGGTGTGTGTGTGACAGGTGAGTGTGTATAGTACCTTTCTTCATGTCTCTGAAGGGTGTGTGTGACAGGTGAGTGTGTGTCAGGTGAGTGTGTATAGTACCTTTCTTCATGTCTCTGAAGGGTGTGTGTGTGTCAGGTGAGTGTGTATAGTACCTTACTTCATGTCTCTGAAGGGTGTGTGTGTCAGGCGTGTGTGACAGGTGTAAGTGGCAGGTGTGTGTGTGACAGGTGAGTGTGTATAGTACCTTTCTTCATGTCTCTGAAGGGTGTGTGTGACAGGTGTGTGTGTGACAGGTGAGTGTGTATAGTACCTTTCTTCATGTCTCTGAAGGGTGTGTGTGACAGCTGTGTGTGTGTGACAGGTGAGTGTGTATAGTACCTTTGTTCATGTCTCTGAAGGGTGTGTGTGACAGCTGTGTGTGTGACAGGTGAGTGTGTATAGTACCTTTCTTCATGTCCTGAAGGGTGTGTGTGTCAGGTGAGTGTGTATAGTACCTTTCTTCATGTCTCTGAAGGGTGTGTGTGACAGGTGTGTGTGTGACAGGTGAGTGTGTGACAGGTGAGTGTGTATAGTACCTTTCTTCATGTCTCTGAAGGGTGTATGTGACAGGCATGTGTGTGACAGGTGAGTGTGTATAGTACCTTTCTTCATGTCTTTGAAAAGTGTGTGTGTCAGGTGTGTGTGACAGGTGTAAGTGACAGGTGTGTGTGTGACAGGTGAGTGTGTATAGTACCTTTCTTCATGTCTTTGAATTGTGTGTGTGACAGGTGAGTGTGTATAGTACCTTTCTTCATGTCTCTGAAGGGTGTGTGTGACAGGTGAGTGTGTGTCAGGTGAGTGTGTATAGTACCTTTCTTCATGTCTCTGAAGGGTGTGTGTGACAGGTGTGTGTGTGACAGGTGAGTGTGTATAGTACCTTTCTTCATGTCTCTGAAGGGTGTGTGTGTCAGGTGAGTGTGTATAGTACCTTTCTTCATGTCTCTGAAGGGTGTGTGTGACAGCTGTGTGTGTGACAGGTGAGTGTGTATAGTACCTTTGTTCATGTCTCTGAAGGGTGTGTGTGTCAGGTGAGTGTGTATAGTACCTTTCTTCATGTCTTTGAAAAGTGTGTGTGTCAGGTGTGTGTGACAGGTGTAAGTGACAGGTGTGTGTGTGACAGGTGAGTGTGTATAGTACCTTTCTTCATGTCTCTGAAGGGTGTGTGTGTGTCAGGTGAGTGTGTATAGTACCTTTCTTCATGTCTCTGAAGGGTGTGTGTGTCAGGTGAGTGTGTATAGTACCTTTCTTCATGTCTCTGAAGGGTGTGTGTGACAGGTGAGTGTGTGACAGGTGAGTGTGTATAGTACCTTTCTTCATGTCTCTGAAGGGTGTGTGTGACAGGTGAGTGTGTGTCAGGTGAGTGTGTATAGTACCTTTCTTCATGTCTCTGAAGGGTGTGTGTGACAGGTGTGTGTGTGACAGGTGTGTGTGTGACAGGTGAGTGTGTATAGTACCTTTCTTCATGTCTCTGAAGGGTGTGTGTGAAAGGTGTGTGTGTGACAGGTGAGTGTGTATAGTACCTTTCTTCATGTCTCTGAAGGGTGTATGTGACAGGCATGTGTGTGACAGGTGAGTGTGTATAGTACCTTTCTTCATGTCTTTGAAAAGTGTGTGTGTCAGGTGTGTGTGACAGGTGTAAGTGACAGGTGTGTGTGTGACAGGTGAGTGTGTATAGTACCTTTCTTCATGTCTTTGAATTGTGTGTGTGACAGGTGAGTGTGTATAGTACCTTTCTTCATGTCTCTGAAGGGTGTGTGTGACAGGTGAGTGTGTGTCAGGTGAGTGTGTATAGTACCTTTCTTCATGTCTCTGAAGGGTGTGCGTGTCAGGTGAGTGTGTATAGTACCTTTCTTCATGTCTCTGAAGGGTGTGTGTGTCAGGTGTGTGTGACAGGTGTAAGTGACAGGTGTGTGTGTGACAGGTGAGTGTGTATAGTACCTTTCTTCATGTCCCTGAAGGGTGTGCGTGTCAGGTGAGTGTGTATAGTACCTTTCTTCATGTCTCTGAAGGGTGTGTGTGTGACAGGTGAGTGTGTATGGTACCTTTCTTCATGTCTTTGAAAAGTGTGTGTGTCAGGTGTGTGTGACAGGTGTAAGTGACAGGTGTGTGTGTGACAGGTGAGTGTGTATAGTACCTTTCTTCATGTCTCTGAAGGGTGTGTGTGACAGGTGAGTGTGTGTCAGGTGAGTGTGTATAGTACCTTTCTTCATGTCCCTGAAGGGTGTGTGTGACAGGTGTGTGTGTGACAGGTGTGTGTATAGTACCTTTCTTCATGTCTCTGAAGGGTGTGTGTGTCAGGTGAGTGTGTATAGTACCTTTCTTCATGTCTCTGAAGGGTGTGTGTGACAGCTGTGTGTGTGACAGGTGAGTGTGTATAGTACCTTTGTTCATGTCTCTGAAGGGTGTGTGTGTCAGGTGAGTGTGTATAGTACCTTTCTTCATGTCTTTGAAAAGTGTGTGTGTCAGGTGTGTGTGACAGGTGTAAGTGACAGGTGTGTGTGTGACAGGTGAGTGTGTATAGTACCTTTCTTCATGTCTCTGAAGGGTGTGTGTGTCAGGTGAGTGTGTATAGTACCTTTCTTCATGTCTCTGAAGGGTGTGTGTGTCAGGTGAGTGTGTATAGTACCTTTCTTCATGTCTCTGAAGGGTGTGTGTGACAGGCGTGTGTGTGACAGGTGAGTGTGTATAGTACCTTTCTTCATGTCTCTGAAGGGTGTGTGTGACAGGTGAGTGTGTGTCAGGTGAGTGTGTATAGTACCTTTCTTCATGTCTCTGAAGGGTGTGTGTGACAGGTGTGTGTGTGACAGGTGTGTGTGTGACAGGTGAGTGTGTATAGTACCTTTCTTCATGTCTTTGAATTGTGTGTGTGACAGGTGAGTGTGTATAGTACCTTTCTTCATGTCTCTGAAGGGTGTGTGTGACAGGTGAGTGTGTGTCAGGTGAGTGTGTATAGTACCTTTCTTCATGTCTCTGAAGGGTGTGCGTGTCAGGTGAGTGTGTATAGTACCTTTCTTCATGTCTCTGAAGGGTGTGTGTGTCAGGTGTGTGTGACAGGTGTAAGTGACAGGTGTGTGTGTGACAGGTGAGTGTGTATAGTACCTTTCTTCATGTCCCTGAAGGGTGTGCGTGTCAGGTGAGTGTGTATAGTACCTTTCTTCATGTCTCTGAAGGGTGTGTGTGACAGGTGTGTGTGTGACAGGTGAGTGTGTATAGTACCTTTCTTCATGTCTTTGAAAAGTGTGTGTGTCAGGTGTGTGTGACAGGTGTAAGTGACAGGTGTGTGTGTGACAGGTGAGTGTGTATAGTACCTTTCTTCATGTCTTTGAATGGTGTGTGTGACAGGTGAGTGTGTATAGTACCTTTCTTCATGTCTCTGAAGGGTGTGTGTGACAGGTGAGTGTGTGTCAGGTGAGTGTGTATAGTACCTTTCTTCATGTCTCTGAAGGGTGTGTGTGACAGGTGTGTGTGTGACAGGTGTGTGTATAGTACCTTTCTTCATGTCTCTGAAGGGTGTGTGTGTCAGGTGAGTGTGTATAGTACCTTTCTTCATGTCTCTGAAGGGTGTGTGTGACAGCTGTGTGTGTGACAGGTGAGTGTGTATAGTACCTTTCTTCATGTCTTTGAAAAGTGTGTGTGTCAGGTGTGTGTGACAGGTGTAAGTGACAGGTGTGTGTGTGACAGGTGAGTGTGTATAGTACCTTTCTTCATGTCTCTGAAGGGTGTGTGTGTCAGGTGAGTGTGTATAGTACCTTTCTTCATGTCTCTGAAGGGTGTGTGTGACAGGCGTGTGTGTGACAGGTGAGTGTGTATAGTACCTTTCTTCATGTCTCTGAAGGGTGTGTGTGACAGATGAGTGTGTGTCAGATGAGTGTGTATAGTACCTTTCTTCATGTCTCTGAAGGGTGTGTGTGACAGGTGTGTGTGTGACAGGTGAGTGTGTATAGTACCTTTCTTCATGTCTCTGAAGGGTGTGTGTGACAGGTGAGTGTGTATAGTACCATTGTTCATGTCTCTGAAGGGTGTGTGTGTGACAGGTGAGTGTGTGTCAGGTGAGTGTGTATAGTACCTTTCTTCATGTCTCTGAAGGGTGTGTGTGTCAGGTGAGTGTGTATAGTACCATTGTTCATGTCTCTGAAGGGTGTGTGTGTGACAGGTGAGTGTGTGCCAGGTGAGTGTGTATAGTACCTTTCTTCATGTCTCTGAAAAGTGTGTGTGTCAGGTGTGTGTGACAGGTGTAAGTGACAGGTGTGTGTGACAGGTGTGTGTGTGAGACATGTGACCTTTCTTCATGTCTCTGAAGGGCGTGTGTGACAGCTGTGTGTGTGACAGGTGAGTGTGTATAGTACCTTTCTTCATGTCTCTGAAGTGTGTGTGTGACAGCTGTGTGTGTGACAGGTGTGTGTGTGACAGGTGAGTGTGTATAGTACCTTTCTTCATGTCTCTGAAGGGTGTGTGTGTCAGGTGAGTGTGTATAGTACCTTTCTTCATGTCTCTGAAAAGTGTGTGTGTCAGGTGTGTGTGACAGGTGTAAGTGACAGGTGTGTGTGACAGGTGTGTGTGTGACAGGTGTGTGTGTGACAGGTGAGTGTGCATAGTACCTTTCTTCATGTCTCTGAAGGGTGTGTGTGTGACAGGTGAGTGTGTATAGTACCTTTCTTCATGTCTCTGAAGGGTGTGTGTGACAGGTGAGTGTGTATAGTACCTTTTCTTCATGTCTCTGAAGGGTGTGTGTGTGACAGGTGAGTGTGTATAGTACCTTTCTTCATGTCTCTGAAGGGGGGGTTACTGAAGCAGTATGGACACACAGAGTAACACTTCCCCCGAGCTCCAGACGTCCACAAAACCAACTCAAAGTCGTCCAGAGGACACCTGCACACACAGACAGGTGACACGTGCACACACACACAGACACCTGCACACACAGACAGGTGACACCTGCACACACACACAGACACCTGCACACACACACAGACACCTGCACACACAGACAGGTGACACCTGCACACACACACAGACACCTGCACACACAGACAGGTGACACCTGCACACACACACAGACACCTGCACACACAGACAGGTGACACCTGCACACACACACAGACACCTGCACACACAGACAGGTGACACCTGCACACACACACAGACACCTGCACACACAGACAGGTGACACCTGCACACACACACAGACACCTGCACACACAGACAGGTGACACGTGCACACACACACAGACACCTGCACACACAGACAGGTGACACGTGCACACACACACAGACACCTGCAAACACAGACAGGTGACACCTGCACACACACAC